GCTTAAAACTTTATACCAGATGAGGGTCCAGCACTGTGATATTCATGTCATCATTGGAAATGAAGTTTCTGGAAATAATTTAATTTCTTTCTGCACCTTGATAAGTAAATCCGGCTTTACAGCTCCTGCACTTTTTTTTGAATGAGTTATTAGCATGGAGTCTGCTGTCAGTCAGGACTTTAAGGCTGAGCAAAACCACTTCAAACAGAGCAGATCACAGACTCTGCCTTTGTCAAATAACGTCTGATGACATTATGATAATTAACATAAAATGGGTCTACAATAACCCACACTGAAAACCACAGGCAGAGCCCAGATCTCAGAACACAGAAGACAGGGAAAGTTCAGTCTCCAGGAAGGCTGTGATGGCTCTGCATTACACCTTAAGCAAACAGTACTTGAGTTTTCTCTGCTGCCGTGTGGAAACATGCACTTACTAAAAGGGTATCTTTAATTGCACCTTGCTGGCAACGTCCTCATCCTCAACTACGTCTCAGGCTTCAGCTTCAACTATCACAGTTTATCCCTCTCCTTCTCCTCCTTTCCATCAAATGCACACTACATTTCTGGCTGATGCAGCCAACAAATCTTGACAACTTTCCCTCACAGGTGATTAGTGACAGAACAAGAGGGAACGGCTTTGAACTGCAACAGGGGAGGGTCAGACTGGACACGAGGAACAAATGTTTCCCAGAAAGAGTGGTCAGAGAGTGGAATAGGCTGCCCAGGGAGGGGGTGGAGTCCCCATCCCTGGATGTTTTTAAGGGTCGTTTGGATGAGCTGTGGGGGGATGTGGGGTAGGGGAGAACTTTGTAGAGTCGGGCTGAGGGATGGACTCGATGATCCCAAGGGGCTTTTCCAGCCTGAATGATTCTGTGATTCTGTGATTATTTTGCCATCTAGCTCATCCTCTGTCCCAGTCTGGCCTTTCTCAGGGTCAGTTCCTCTGGCTCTCAATGCATAACTCAGAGGACAGGTTCCAGTGAATAAGAAACAAAGTACTCATAACTTTTTGTGGTAAATTTAGTCATGTCCTGCCACAGACTTCTCATATCTCACTTCCCAAGTTCTGTTGCCTGTAGCAGAATTTTTACAAGGTAGAAGAAGGAACTGTTGTGGTACCTCCCAGACACAGTCCTCTTCAGATTTCTAGATGTTGTCATGTCCCTGTGGATGTGATCAACAAGATAGCAAGTATATCTCCACCAGTTAACAAGAAAGAAACATGAGCTTTCCTAGGCCTCGCGGGATTCTGGAGAATGTATATTCCAGGTTATAGTCAGCTTGTGAGCCCTCTCTATCAAGTAACACAAAAGAAGAACTATTTTGCGTGGGCCCTTGAGCAACAACAACTATTTTGCATGGGCCCTTGAGCAGATCAAAGAGGAGATGACTCATGGGGTAGCTCTTGGGCCTGTCTGGACATGACCAGCTGTGCAGAAGGTACTCTACTGCAGCCAGGGAGCATGGGCTCACCTGCAGCCTCTGGCAGAAAACTTCAGGAGAAACCTGAGGCTTACCACTAGTGTTTTGGACCCGGGGTATCAAGGATCAGAAGCCCACTACAGCCCGACTGAAAAAGAGATTCTAGCAGCATAGAAGGAGGTTCAAGCCACTTCAGAAGTTGTTGGTACAGAAGCACATCTCCTCTAGGCACCACGATTGCCCATGCTGCACTGGGTGTTCAAAGAAACATTCCCTCTATACATAGGGCAACCAGCACTACATGGAGCAAGTGGATAGTGTTGATCATGCAGTGGGCTCGAATGGGGAAACCCAACCACCCAGGAATCCTGGAAGACATCATGGACTTGTCAGGAGGCAGAGATTTTGGAGCACTGACCGAGAAGGTGGCTCATGCCCAAGAGGCACAACCATGTAATGAGTTATCAGAAGATGAAAGACATTATGCTCTGTTTACCTGTGGTGGTTTAGGCCCTGCCGGGACCAGAGACCACGTTGCCGTTTTCCCTCCTCCACCCTCGGACACAAGTAGGGCACAAACCCCGGGTTAAAATAAGAAGAAAATTAATACAACAGTGTAATAAACAATCTGAACAACAACAGCAGCAATGATAACAACAATAAACAGTAATAACAGTAAACAAGACAAAAGATATACAGATAAATACCGCAATGGCTACAGACAGCCCGCCGTGTGCTCCCCGTCACCAAGCCACAAAGGAAAAAGCTTCCTGCGCTGCCACACCGGACCTGACATCATCATGGTATGAATAACCCAGCTGGAGATCCCTTCCCCCTCTCTGCTGGGGAAACTTAACCCTATCCTAGCTGAACCCAGGACATTACCGATGGATCCTGTCATGTTGTAGGAAACCATCAGAAGTGGAAAGCTGATGTGTGAAGTCCCACATGGTAAGTTACTGAAGCCACTGAAGGAGAAGGTGTGTCAAGTCAGTTTGCAGAAGTGAAAGCCATCCAACTAGCCCTAGAGATTGCTGAACAAGAAAAGTGGCCAGTAGCCTCTCTCTATACTGACTCATGGATGGTGGCTAATGCCCTATGGGGGTGGCTCCAGCAGTGGAAGACCAAAAAGCTGCACAGAAGTAAACCCATCTGGGCTGCTGCATTGTGGCAAGACATCTCTGCCTGGGTAGAAAACATCACTCTAAAGGCGCATCATGTAGATGTTCACATACCCAAAAGCCACACCACCAAAGAACATAAAAACAATAAATACAGATGGGCTCATGATCAAAGGGTGGACCTGACTGTGGAGGCTATCACACAGGTCACTCATAAATGTGAAACATGCTGCAAACAAGTGGCCCACATGAGTGAAGTCTCCCTGGAGCAGAGGGCAGAGTCTGGGTTTGTGATATAGTGAGGCCTGGCAAATTGACTATATTGGACCACTGCCACCAACACACCAAGGCAAGCACTGTGTGCTCACTATGGTGGAAGCAACTAATGGCTGGCTAGAAACATACCCTGTAAACCATGCGACTGCCCAAAAGACCGTCTCATTTTGCCCATGACAGTAATTGTTCAGTGATCTCCCTGTCCTTATCTAGACCCACGAGCCTTTCATCCTATTTATCTCCCCATGTCCAGTTGAGGAGATAGAATGATAGAGTGGCTTGGTGGGCACCTGACATCCCAGCCAAGGTCAAACCACCACACCTTCTCATATGAGCCCCTCACTGATTCCTAGAAACCCAGGCTTCAATCAGAAAGTTTCTCTCAAAGCAGCTTAATGACATCTTAAATAATATTTGCCTACCAAAAGAATCCAGCTGTCTAACTTCTGATTCTGAATGAATTCCTGTAGGAATGCCAGAGACCTTTCATTATGACAACTTAAAGGACTTATCTAGAAGATAGTTTGCTCTCTCCCAAAATCTCCTCTGTCCCATTACATGTTTTCATTTTTTTCCATTCATGCATCAATCATCTCTGCAATACACCAACAGGTCTGCACATTTACACCACCTTAGTTTTCTCTTGTCTTTGCATCAAATTTGAGGGCTATTTCTTTTCCATTTGAGGCCTCATACTGCTTATATGTTGCCTACTTCTCTTTCCAGACTTGTATCTTAATCTCTACTTGCATAAATATCTCTTCTTCCTCTCCCATGCCTTTGCCTAAAACATAGCTATGATACCTATTCACAAGTGTTACTAATTCCTAGATCAATAGTAAATACTCAGAAAATAAAACAATGTTATTGTGAATAACATATCAAAAACCTCAGAACAGTGTGGAGGAGGTTCAAAATGTTGAATTTAGTTTAAAAAATCAAGTGGGGAAAAATATACAGAACATCTTCGCACACAAAACTCTAGTTAATAAAATAATCCTGGGACCGAGATGATCCAGCTGAATTTCTGTCTCACTTGATTTTCTTTATATGATCATGGTTAGTCTGGTTTTACTAATTTTGCACAGGACCTTAATTCACACTGCTCTGTGCCAGTGAACATCAATGCAGACCATTTTTGAACCAAATTACCAGAACATCAGACTACAGTCATCAGTAGAGCTTGCCGATGCTTAAACGTGGTATGCAGTCCTAGCTCCTGAGCAGTTCGATTTCCTGCCAACTTTGATCTGTTTTCTGTCTTTACCTCTTATGTCTCTGTCCTCAGTGGTAATTATTCTGACATGTAGCTTTCAACAGCTGAGGTCTTTTCTCTATTGCTGGCCCACAAAACTGTGCTAGGGAAGTGCTGTGGCTTAAGAAAGGGAAAGAAAGCCCGAATCTGAAATTACTAGATCAGTGAGGAAGTGGGGAAACAGGTATAGTATTATTTAAAAGAACCCCACAAACCAGCATCCTGAAAAAAACACTTTTTCAGTGAAAGATGTGAGCCAGCTTCAATTTCTTTATTATTTCTGTGGAAAAGTATGTAAAATAGGCTTTTCTTCCCCCTCAAAACTCATTTTTTTCCCCCAGGGCCTGGAAAGCCTTCTTGTTCAAGATGAGAACTATGCTGCCAGTAGCTACTGAAGGGAGAAATCATTAAGAATGCCACTTACAGAGAAGACTTGAGACTGTTTATTTTTTTGAGGGAGACATGAGGAGCAATTTTCTTGGAGGCAGTGTCAAAAAAGTGACAAAGAAGTAGCAGTAGTAGTCGTAGTTGTAGTAGTAGCGACAAATATGAAGAAGTTTCTCTCTAGCTTCCCAAGACTAAGATTTCCTTTTTGATACTAAACTCAGCCCTGAATAATCTCCTCCACTTTTACCCCCTCTGAGCTCTGCTGCAGGGTTTATCTCCACTCATCAGCCTCCTGAGGAGAGCCAATGAACGGAAGGCAGAGTTGTTCAGTCGGTTTCCTCAGCGTTCGCCTGGGCTCTCAGCACAGGAAGCCTAGTGCTCTCAAAAGTCAGAAGGAGGAACCTCTCCAGCTTTGAGGAGCCAGTCGATCAGGAGAACTCACAGCTAGAGGAGAGAAGTGGGAAAGGGGAGGAAAAACACTGATGGTGGTTGCTGAGGATGCACTGGCAGGCGAGAAATACTCCTCATGACCACAGCGAGGTTGGTGACGGGATGGATGGAGTGAGGGAGCTGCCTGAGCCATGAAAGCAGGAGCTGCCATGAAGATTGCTGGGAAGACTGTGTGTGTTTTTGTGCTGCTCACCATCACCAAGGTCGCGAGAACAGTAGGTGAGTCTAACTGGGGCCAATCAGCTGTTGGGATGGAAAAGAAAGTGAAATGTGCACAGATATTTTCTTTGTATAAAAGCTATTCATCATGCTGTGATTTTCTTTAATTGCTAAAAGTTATGGAGCACAACTAAAACGTGTTTCCCCAATATCCACTCCTGCTCTTCTTTTCACAGTGGTCAGAAGGCTGATCGGCATTATCCCCGTGACTTCCATGTAGGCAGTTATTTAGTGACCCTTAACTGGGAATGTACCGTTTGTCACAGACAGCCTTTTTACTCAGATCTCTAAATCCACATCATCTGAGAAACTGATCCATTTAGCATATTAAAAATATGCCTGGGAAAGTGTCTGTGAGCTTGAAACTTTTTGCCATGTGGTTTCTGCTGAAGAGAGGGTGCAGATACTCTGAAATAGGGCAAGGATCTCTTAGTCTTTCTGAGGAGTGGTGGAAGATCACTGGTGCACTGACAGCAGGGAGCAGTTTCTGGAATTTCATTCTGAGCCTAATGGTCATGGTCCGTATCAAGAGTGGGAAAGGCTTTTGTATCAAAGACAGTGGCACTCCTAAGCCTTTCTAACCCCGTCTTTTAGTGTAGTTGACTTAGTTTTAATATATTTAACTACAGCAATTAACATCTCCCACATACTGTTTGTTCATTTGCATTTCTACAGCTTGTGCTCTTCCAGACGCCATGCAGCAGTCTGGGGACTTGTTAATGGAACTAGGGATTTGAGCAGCAGTTCCAGAAACTTAAACTATCTATATACAGAGATAGAAGGCAGCTAGGTCTGTGAGATCCAAATTAAATGGGATATCTCTGAATAATATGTAATGTGCATGTGTCCGTATTATAGACAGGTAGAACTAAACTGCATGGACATGAATTATTCCAATTCACTTGGCCAGAAGACAAAAATGGCTCCTTGGTGATATTTTAAAGCATAATGGATGCAGTCATTGTTGGCAGTGAGGGAACACCTGCCAGTGTGTTTAGCTGATGAAATGAGGGATCCAAAATGGTTAGCTCGGCGCTACCCATTGGAAAAAATGGAAACATGATTAAACTTTGCATCAGTAACCTCACAACAGGTGCACTGGAGGTAAAAAACTTGTCTCTCTTCTCTAGTTAAAGAGCTATCATCTTAGAAAAATACTGAGGAACCTGCTCAGGGTCATACAGAGAGATTATGGTAGCATCAGAGACAGTCTACTTTTTCGAATACAGCTGCCCAAAAAGTAAAGGAGTCACAAAACCTGTCACAAAACCTTGAAGAAAATGGGGGCGATAAAAGGGAATCCTACTGGCAAAAATTCTTTTTAAAAATTGACTTTGCTGGAAATATTAAAAAAAAAAAATCAATGCCAAAAGGTTGTGGGTTTTTTTTTTCACCCAAAATGTAATTGGATTTTAACTTCTTGGTGTCTTGGTGATCAACGATATTCCCCTTCAAAGAACACAGAAGAAGATGTTCAAGTAAAATCTAATTTCATGGTTGAACGTTCCCCCCCCCTCCCGGTAAAATCATCACACATTTGATGGTAAGTTTTTAGCGCCCTTAAACTTCTTTCCTTCAAGACCAGGGTGGCTTGTTCTGAGCAAGATGTAGTGACAAGGTTTTTTTCTTCAGAGATCACAGTCTAAATAGGTCAAGCTGATCCATTGCGTCCCCCCCTTCTGAAGACCAGAGCAAGCCACTCTGAATGAAAACAGGTCATGCAGAAACAGTTGTGTGTAAGCAGGCTTTATCTGCATTAGCATTTTCATTAACATTTCCTTAGCTTGTTGTTTTGTGTGGTTTGGTTAGTTTTTACAACAGCAGAAGGGGCAGCTCAGAAGCAAGGCTGAGGTCATTTCAGGGTTGTTGTATCTAGATCTGCCCCCAAGTAGAGTTGGATAATATGCTACTGAAGCTGCCAGTCTGTACTAACAGTCTGTACTAACAATCCTTCTGTGACAGTGGAAAAGACTCAAAATCTTTTTTGGTAACACTCTGAAGACTTCTCTAGTTTAACTAAGCAGACAGGACACTTCAGGTGGTTGTGGACATACTACAAAGGAAAGGGGAAAAGGAACGCAAGATCCTCCATCAGAGGTTCAAGCAACAAATCTCTATTTATTGGATTAACATTTGCAACGTTGGACTGTGTAAGTCCTGCATCTGCAGTTGTATCCTGTGACAATAGATATGACCGAGTGCTTCAGAGGAAGATGCAAGAAATGCAGGCAGTAATTAGATGTGATTCTCTATGGTTGTTCAGTTTTATCAAAAGTAAAAAATTGAACTCAGTGGCATTGCATCACTGCTGGAATGAGAGTGTATGAGGTGAATAAAAATGAAGTAGATTTACAGAGCAACCTGGCTAGAGTTCAAGTTTACCTTCATACAGAACTTTCTCGAAAGCTACTGCTTTCATTTGTTTTCTTTCCTTAATATAACTTGCAAATTCTCTTTCACTAGTGTACTAGTGTTTTATTGCCTTCTTACCTTCTGCCTCCTAGGGGGCTCAAGTGCTCCTGTCTTTGCTGCTTCCTATTCTAGTTTACTGTGGAATCTTGCTCCAGATACAAAAAATCAGAGCCTAATAAACTATTCTGGTAAACTTATATGTGTCTCCATTTCACTATTTCTTTGGGTCTGTATGCTGGAATCATTCTGACTTCTTTGACCATCAAAACAGCTGTATCCAAACATCCTGTTTTTCTTCCCCAAATGCTTAAACAGAATTCTGCACTATTAAATTAAGGACAATTTTTCTTACACACCTACATTGCTCTAGTACAATCTTCAAAGCATATCCTTGTGACATTAACATTTTACTTTGCTGTGGTCCAAACACAATGTCTGGATGTGTCTAGTTTCAAAATCATAGAAACGAAGAAGTTCAGTCTTGCAATTTGACCACATACTCTATGACCAGAAAGCAGCTTTCCTTTAATTGGTAATGCACTTGTAGAAGTACATACTACTTAAACTCACAGTTGATATAATTTGTATTTAAAGGTACAATTGTTCATAAGAAAAAAGTGTAGTGGATCATCTTATGCTGCCTTATCTTTGTATTGAGTAAGAAAATGGTAGGAAGAGAAGTATTATGCTAAATCTGAGCACTAGACAAGGTATGACTGAGACTTTAACTATATAAAAGGGAGGTTCTAAGTGTGTTTCCACAGCAGTCCCTTGTCTGCTTTCTGCAAAGCATGAAGAAGTGGGCATACAACTTACAGTTTGCAGTCAATTAACTATTTTTATCTAGAATAGCAGGAAAACACCACTTGAGCATAAACAAAGGGTACAACTTGTTTTCTTCTCATGAGGAAGAGAGTAAAAGGCAAGTTCAACACGCAGAACAGAATATAAAACATTCTGTAGCTGGTTCTATACTGAGAAGTGGGGGGCTTTTACTCTTCATTACACATGGTGTCCCAGTGCTGCTCTGAAAGAACTACTACACAAGACCCTTTGGCATCCAGTGTAGTTCCCTTTTCCCCTCATCCATTCCCGCTCACATTCTGCAAGGACAAAGATCTAATTACTTTGCACACAGAAGCTTCTATAATAAATGTAATACACAAATTTTATAGCCTGACTGACAACATGTGACAGCGTGTTAAGTTTAGTGACGATTTAGTATCAGTTGAGGATTTGGCTGATGGTGTTTGTTCTGCAAGCTGCATGACTCTAATACAACATTTAAACAATAATTCCTTCATTAAAGAAGTGTCCCCATCCTTTTTTTCTGTGAAATCTTGGACACACAGCCCATATATGTGAAGGTAGAAACAAAACCTCAAAGAGAATCCCTACATCACTGCATCAAATCTCCTTTTTTTTGAATGCATTGTATCATGAAACACTTTTCATAAACAATCTAGGCACCAAAAAAAGAACCCATCTTATCTAAGGGCTAGTTTTAATTCTGATTGAGGCAAGATTCTCTATTCTACTTTTCAGCCTAAATTTGTTGTATTACCTATTATTACTGCTATCACATTTTGAGCTGTTTAATTTCAGCACACATCTACCTTTCTGCTCATCAAGGTTTTCTTTCTGCGTGACATTTTCATTTGTGTATTAATAATGTTATATTGCTCCTGATTTCAACAAATCTCTTCACACACTCCTGATACAAATGCCAATGTCATTAGTAAAATCTTTAAACAGAATTACTGCAAAAATCGTCTGCTAAGAAACATCCTTATCAAGCTACCTTGAACCTGACACCTCCTTTTAACACTGCCTTTTGCTTTCTCTCCTTCATCCAATTCTTTATCCATCATTTTTACCTCATTGCCCTTGTTCTTCATTGTTCTTCATTGTTCTTCAGCTTAATTTATGATTTTCAAGAGGACAAACTATCTCTAACTAGGTGAGATTTTACATCCTTCCTTTGCCTTCAAAGTCAGCTGCCTTGAACGACTGCTTGAAAGAGTACTGGAGAAAGCTAAAGAGAATTAAAAGATCATAGGAAAATTAAAAACTAGGAGCTGGCAACTGCAAAGGTATATTCCTTTGAAGACTGAAACCTTTGTTTCATTATTAAGTTCTGTCAGTGCGCTCACCTCTCCACAACGTACAAAGTCATATTACAGTTTGCAGTCTAAAAAAAATTTCAGCCATGATGCAGACACTTCATACTGGAAAACCAGCCATCTACAATAACAAAGTGTATTTTTGTGGCTGTGTTTTAAGGTTGCTATTTCAGCTCGTATGCGACAGCAGGAAAGAGGTTTATACTGCGATACAGTAACGGTGGCAGCAAAAAATGTGTTAAAAGGAGAACAAAAGAATTTGAGTATGACAAAGAGAGGAATTTCAGAAGATAGGAAAAAAGCCTAAATAGAATGAAATGGGAATAGGAGATCTTTTCAAGGAATAATGATGAGTATAGATAAAAGAGTGTGAGTGGGAAACTAACAATAAAGGGATGTCTCTTCTTGTGTCCTTTTAAAGATGTGTCCATGCTGATAGAGCTGTGATTGCAGCTTCAAGAAACA